TTTGCTCCCTGGAACATCTCTCCGTTTTTTTTTTTTTGGGTGAGGTGTCTCCCACTTGTTATTGTCATGCAACAGTTTGACACCTGGAGCGGTGTGTAAATGAAGATGTCTGATGTTTCCCTCCTAAGTGGGAACGGCTGTTTAGAATATCCTAGAAAATTTTAACTCCAGGCAAAATGAAAATGAGGAGCCAGGGGAGGCAGGCAGCTCCACTCCCGGGCTCCCCGAGGCAGCAGCAGCAGGGATTTAGGGATTTTCTTGCAGAATATTCCCAAAAGAAGGAATGCCACATCACGGGAATGTCTTCTTGACCCCTCCATAAAATTCCTGGTGAGCCCAGAAAGGCTGCAGAGCTTGGGGCAGCATTTCCCTGTCCTGTGGAGATGTTCAGCTTGGGGTGGGACACGCAGAATTCCCAGGTGTCCAGGGATGTCCCCAAGGTGTCCCCGATGTCCAGGGGTGTCCCCAGGTGTCCCCACGCCCCTCACTTGGTGATGGTGTTCCTGGAAGAGAAAGGGGGGATCGCTGTCCCAGTGCTCCCAGTTCCTTCCCAGTCCCTCCCAGTGTCCCCACATCACAAGTCTGGGCAGCTGAGCGGGGATTTGGGAAAAGTGTCCCTGTCCCCCGTGGGGTCCCAGCGTGGGGACACCCCCGGAGACACCAACAGAGCTCAGGGACAGCCCTGCCCTGCCTGTCGCCAGTTTTGCTGCCTGTGTGGATTTTTGTGTGTCCAAATGTCCTGCCTGAGCAGAGCAGCCGGGAGCACAGAGCCTCAGTGGCCTCTAGTGGCTCCAGCGGCACAAAGATCCAGGGGAAGGGGACCCGCAGCCCCCCAGAGCCCCCAGACCAGCAGCACCGGGGCTCCATCCCACCAGAAGCCACTCCTCCCATGGGGAAACCCAAAGGTGAAGCCCCCAAAAGAGCTCCAAGGCCTTTGTGAGTGATGGGGGAGCATCCAGCAGGATGGTGCTGCTTCCCAAATCCCTCCTGGCCATCCCCATCTCCGTGGATGGAGAGATTTCGGGCAGCCACTGGATTTATTTTCTTCATTCTTGTGTTAAAAAGCAGGGGAAAAAACCCCAAGTTTTTAAGGAGAATAAAATTTCTTTCACGTCTTTTTCCATTTTTCGTTTTTTTAGGAGTGTTTTCTGTCCAATGCCACGCCACAAAACACAAACCCCAGCAGTGAAGGGATCAAAAAGGGTTTGATACCCTTCAAACGACCATTTTTTGTGTCTTCTCCACCAAAGGTCACTAAAGCTGCTTCCTTCTGAGTAACTGTGATTTTCCAACAAGGGAAGAGGGAAGAACTGACCCATTTTATTCTCCAAACCCACAGCATTCGGGGGCAGGATGGAGCATCCCCTTCTGCAGCCCATGCTGTCCCTCCTCTCTCCCCCCCACGATAAATAAATTACTTTAGGAGTGCTGGCCTAGTTTAACATGGCCTAGTTTTGATGGAGGAGGGGAAAGAAAGAAAAGGAAAGAAAAAAAAAAAAAGGAAAAGAAAGAGAGAATATTTATTTTGGGCAGTTGTTTCATGGGAAGAGCTTTGGGGGACTCACCCACTCCCCCTGCTCTGCTTTGCCCTGGCTGTAACACACTGCCCTCAATTTTGGTTTCTTTTTCTGAGTCACTGCCTGGCTGATGTGGGAAATGAGTGGTGGGGACACTGATCCAGCCCCCAAATCTTTGTCCATTGCTCTGAGCACCCCCAGGACCGGGGGATCCCAAGGGCTGAAGCTTTAAATCCTGTGGAAAACATCTTTAGGGGTGAATGAAGTTACACCCTGGTTCTGGGTGTGAGCGGTCAGGGTTGGCTTTGCTGCAGGAGCAACTGTGTTAGCACCTTCCCCCAAGGCCAAAATCCCTGGGAAAATGGGATTAAAGTGGAATTTCACAATGCCTTGGGTGTCACCGGGACCTTTACACCTCGCTCATCCCTGCTTTTCCAAAGGCACCAAGTTTCCTCCAGTAAATAAACCTGCAAACAGCTCTTTTCTAATTTTCTATACATTTTATTTTTTCCTCCTTTTTATTTTTTTCCCACCCCTGCCAAAACAAGCAGCCCATATGGGCAGGGTTGGGTGGGGATTTTTGCAGTTTCCATGGGGATTTGGCTCTGGAGCTGCTGGGTGCTGGCTCCTGGGGTTTGGTTTGGGTTTTTTTTTTGGTTTTTTTTCCTTTCTGATCTCTGTAATCTGAGAGTGGTGATGGCACCAGGCTCCTTTCCCAGCTCCGGCATCTCCCAGCCAAGGTCACCGGGGAGACCGTAGGCAGCCGCCGCCTGCGTTGGGCCATCTGTTAAATAATATATGCAATAAACTCCTGCCCCGGGGCCAGCTTAATCCTTAAATCCTCCTTCAGAACAGCATCTCCCGGCCGTGCGGGATGCCCAGCTCGGTCTCCTGGGCTCATCCTTCCCCCAGCATCCCTCGTGAATCCCTCTCTCCATCCCGCATCCTCCCGTACTCCGGCTCGCCGGGCTCTCCTGCTCCATTATTTATGTGCCGTGCATGAAAGATGCATATAAAAGAGCGGTTTATAATTTAGCAGAATCTCCTCTTCTTTCAGCTTCCCTTCCCCCTCTGGATTCAGGATTTCTCTGGTTCATTCCCGGCCTCTCCCGGTGTTTTTTTTTGGGGGAGGATCCCGGGGTTGTGTTTGTGCCCCATCCTTGGATCACCCATAGACGGGTCTGGGTCTCAGGGTGGTCTCAGAGATCTTTTAATGAATGGAATAAAGTTGGAAATTCGGTTTGGCAGACCCATAAATCAGGTTTTTACACACAAAAAAAGGGTTTTTTGGTCAACTTCATCAACCCAGCGCCGCGTCCAGCCCGTGGTTTTGTGTTCCCCAGCACTTTGTCCTCGGCACATGTGGGATGCTTTGCTCCCCTCTGCTCTCCCAGAGCCCTGGCCTCACCCTCAGATTCCCAGATATTGGTGTGGGAATAAAAATCCCCCCTTTTTGGGGGTCATCCCCTGCTTTGGAGGTGCAGCACAGAAAATCCTGGGGGCAAAACTGCGTGTGCAGAGTCCAACCCACGCATCCGCGACCCCGGAGCTGAACTTGCTGGGGGGAAAGAAAATGGAAATAATTGGGGATTTTCTTCAAGGGAGCAATTTAGCAAAGCTCCTCTTCCTATCCTGGATGTGGGAGAGACTGTGTGGGTTAAAAAAGGAGCAATAAATAGCAAAGGTGGTGGGGAGGAGAGCGTTGTGCAGCCTTCACATCCCAAAAAATGCGGTACCAGCTCCCTTTGCCACCCCAAATGAATCCACCCCAGGTCATCCTGTACAAATCCCAGCTCAGCAGCATCCTGCTTTTATTGCAATATATGATTTTCTTTGCAATAAAATCCCACCCCTGGACCTGTTTCCCATGGTTATGTTCTTGTTCCCCGGGCACAAAGTGGGCAGAAGGGATAATGGCCTTTTTTAACACCAGGATTTGGGGTTTGGGGTGGAAGGGAGGCAATACAAAAATGAAAATTCCCATTTTCCACAGCTTTTCCCATCAGTGAAGGGGAAGCCACCTTTTATTCCCCATCCTCAGGACCCAACGTTGAATTTTTCCATTAAATTGGAAGCATTTTCCCATTAAACAACAACAACAAAAATATCCCACAAATAAATATTAATTACAATTAATTATTCAGCATGAACAGGGGGCTGTGCCAGAGAGTGGGGAGGTTTTCCCTTGGTTATTTTGGGGTTTTTTGGGTGGACAGGGAGGGATTCTCACGGCAGATCACGGGAAAACACGGCAGATCCGCATTTAGAATTATTATTATTATTTTTTTTCCGTTTCGTTTTCATTTTCCTTTTTATTCGGACATTGCAGAAATAGCCCTGTGTAGTGGATAAAAGTGCAACATACACAATATTTAAGAAAAGGAGGAAAGGAAAACCTGCCTTGAGGTCTGTCAGTCAATCGCAAACAGAAACAAGAACCAAGCCCGGGCGCCAGAAGCGCTTTTTGTTTCCCCCCCACCCCGCACCTTTTTTTTTTCCCCTTTTTTTGTTTTATGCACATCATGCAAAATAGTTAAAAAGAAAGATTAGAAAAGAGAAGTCAGAGAAAACCCCACGAGAGATCGACCGAGCCCTAGAAAGAGCAGAAAGCTCCGAGTGCTGCTCGTCTCGGGGAGGGAATCGCTGCCCTCCAGCATCTCCAAGTGTTTGGCACTCTTGTGATTACATTAAATAATTTCTTTTATATATATGTTTTAATACAGTCTATTAAAGAGAGGAAACTGCCACAATATAAGGAAAAAAAAAAAACCAAAACCAAGATCACCCACACTACAGGCTGCATGGTAGTTAGAAAAGCTGAGCGTTCCCCCCAACCCCCTGTACATATAAAATCTGTCCCTTTGCTCACAGCAACCAAGAAGTACAAGCTTTAAAAAATAAACCAGCAATTCTTCCTTCAGGCCTTTCCTTTATAAAAGTTTTGGTTTTCCCCCTCTAGAACCTTAAAACGTGACTAAAATTAAATATATATATATATATATATATCTATTTTATATAATTTCCCAACATCCAAAGACATCAACATAAAAAAAAAAAAAATAAAATGAAATAAATAAGAAAAAAAAAAAAGAAAAAAGAAACTCTTACAGAAGGGGATAGCGTGGTACATCCAAGTGCACGGATTCATTTTTGCAAGATTAAATAATGTAAACAAGGTGCCCTCTGGGAACAACCCTGACCGGAGGGAGACCCCAGGGGCTGTTCCCCTCCCATCTCCCACTGCCCCTTTTTTTTTTTCCCTCTTACCCCCCGATCTAGCTCGGCACAAGGTTCATCAGCCCGAGAAAAACCATCCCGAGTAATTCACAGCCGCGGCGTGACTCCTCCGTCCATCCCTCGGGGTGAAGAGGGTCAGTTTGAAGCAGGTGACTTATTTTCCCCCGATTACACACACACATATATATATATATATATATATATATATATATATTTGAATTTATTATTATTTTTGAATTGTCGGCTGGGCTGTGGCTCGCTCGCCGCCCTCCCCTCCTGCTCCGGAGGGCAGGGCTGCGGTGCCGTGGGACTGCGGCTGGACGGCGTTCCCGGAGCTCGGCTGGTCGCTGCGGTGTTTTTGGGGGGGGATTTATTTTTTGCCGATCACCTGTGCCATTGTAAACCGAACCCCACCCCGGCCTTCAGCTCAGCGTCCCCGGGGAGGCTTTAAACACCGGGAGGGGCCTTTTCGGAGAGGTTTTGCAGCACATCGTCAATTCTGTCGTCTTCAATAACCACTAGAAAGCAGAAAGAAACAGAAGGGCGATGAATTTTCTGCCGCTCCCCTCGCCCAAGGTGACCCTGGGGGGAGGTTGGAGGGGTCCCACATCCCTGGGGTGGCTGCTGGCAAAGCCCCACGGCGCAGGGTGCCCCGTGTGCCATCCCCGGCACGGTGCGCTGTCCCTGGGGACACCTGGCATGGGGAAATGTCCCCAAGGAATGTCCCCTCACCTCTGTGGTGATGGTCACCAGGGAATGATGCCCGGCCCCTGAGGAAGGTCCCTGCTGCTCTATACCCGATCCTGTCCCCAGGGAAGGTCCCGGCTGCCCAACACCCTGGTGAAAGTCCTTGGGACGTGATGCCGGACATCCTGCAGGGAGTCTGGTGCATCCTGCCCCGTCCCCAGGGACGCTTCCCGGTGCCCTGAATCCCCGAAAGATGCTTGATACCAAATCCCTGGGGAAGATCCACGAAACACGATACCCAAACATCCCTCAGGGAGCCCGGTGCACCATACCCTGTCCCTGGGGACGGTCCCCAGCGCTCTCCATCCCTGGAGAAGGTCCTCGGGACACGATGCCCGACATCTTCAGGGATCCCGCTCATCACGCCCGGTCCCCTGAGGACGGTCCCCGCTATCCTTCATCCCCGGGGAAAGATCCCGACACACGAACCCCAACACCCCGCGGGATCCCCGCCGCATTCCCGGGGCCGTACCCCGCATCCCGGGCGGCTCCCGGTGCGCCCCGCTCCCCCCTCCGGGCACCCACCTCTCTTGCTGCGGCCGATCTGCCCCAGCTTGGGCGGCCGCTTGCCCTGCCCTCCGGCCAGGAGCCCATCTCCGCCGCGGAGGCGAACGGGGAAGGGCAGCTGCCCCACGGCCGCGTCCCCCGCCAGCTGCCCCTCGCCGTAGGGCGGCCCCTCCGACATGGGGGCGGCGGGGGGGGACCCGCCGCCGCCGCCGCCCCCCGACAGCCTCCCGGGGCGCGGGGCCCGCGGGCCCGGGGCAGCGGCGCAGCGGGCGCGGGGCAGCCGCCCCTCACATCCCGGCCCGGCCGGCGCTGCTCGCGGCTCCGCGGCTGCGGCGGCGGCTCCGGCGGCGGCGGCGATAGAGGAGCGGGAGGCGGGACCGGGCGGGGTGGGGCGGGACCGGTTCGGCCCCCCCGGCACCGCTGGCGGTACCGCCCCGGAGGGCTGAATCCCGCACCCCGGGGATCCCCGGGACTGCCCCCGCCGCCTGTCCCGCAGCGTCCTCGGGGAGAGCGGAGCATCCTTAAGGAGACCGGAGCTGCCCCGCAGGCTCCCCGCGGAGCACGGGGCTGTCCCGGAGCATCCTCCGGGTGTCCCGCAGCATCCCTGGAGATGCCAGAGCTCCCTGGCAGACACGCTGCGGAGCTGCCCAGCTTCGTCCTCACTATTCCCAACCTGCCCCTCAGCATCCCTGGGGAGTCTGGAGCTTCCCTACAACGACCCTCGGAGAGCTCAGGAAGCCCCACAGCACTTTTGGTGAGCTCAGAGCTGCCCCACAGCCGCATCTGGGGAGCCTAGACTACCCCACAGACACTTTTAGGGAGTTCCCAGTGGGCTCCTGGAAAGTCTGGAACGAGCCCCTCCACATCCCCGGGGAGCTCAGCGCCTGTTCCCGGGAGCGCTGGGCACAGCCCCACACAGAGCCCAGCAGAAAGGAACCATCCGGGGGCCTCTGGCACTTCCCGGGGGCTGCGTGTGCTTGGCTGTGGGCCTCCAGCACAAAGTGAGACACGGGAAGGTCGGGGATAACATTTTGGGACAGACCACAGCTATGCTGGGGTGTTCAGGCATCTGTGGTGCATCTCCCACAAAGTGGAGCAGGAGGACAGCAGCAAGAGCAGCAAAGAACCCCTTTGTGCGAGGCTGAGTTAACGGGATTCCTCTGGAATCGGGAGCCTGGCTCATTTTAGGGCCGAGCACAATGGGTGCCTGGTGGTGCCAGGGCTGGGCTGCGCTGTCCCGGGGCTGCTCCCATCTCCAAACCCCTCGTTTGCTGAAATCCTCAGCCCCCGGAGCCGCACAAGCCCCTCTCCCCTGCACCCCCGCCCGCCCCCGAGCTGTCAGCTCCTTACATAAGGTTGCGGCTACGCCCGAGATATCACAGGGAAAGCTTGGAAACAGGAGGAGAAGGGTAACGGGGAAGCACAGCCCCTCCAAGGCGTATTTTTAGCCTTTGCCTGATGCTCCATTCCTGGGTGGGCCGTGTCCTGCCCTGGTCTGAGGGGCATCGACCTCCCCGCTGTCCCCAGTGAGGGGATGGGGCATTTTGGGTTCCAACAGATGGCATTCTGTTGTTTCAATCTGTATTCTGGGTTTTTGGGCTGCGGTGTGGCTGTTTGAGCCGTGCTCCGGCTGTTCCCTCCGGGATTTTGTTCCGCGGGCTGCCTCGCCCTGCAGGCAGCCACCGCCACCTACAGCCGGTCCTTTTCCAGCACTGGGATAGCCAGGGAAAAAATCAAAAAAATCCTCAAAATCCAGCCTTTGTGAGTTTGTTCCTCACAGCCAGACCGGCCTTCGGACTGCTCTGGTTAATGTTTAATGAGGAAACAACCCAGCATTTTCACTGTGAAATTCAGGGGGGTTTAAATGCCTGTCGATGGGAATGTTTGTTTTTAAATGTGCCTGGGGGATGTGAAAGGCTCCGATGGAGCAGGGGTGCCCAGGGGCTGCCTCAGTCCTGGGATTTTTAACTGCTCCCTCATTCCCCAGGAATGTTTCACTAATTGTCCTCCCCAGCAAATGTTAATTGCAGCAGCATTTTGGGTCCATTAACCCGCCTGGGTGAATATGGGATTTATGGCAAAATGAATGGGAGTGTCAGGGAAGGGAATTTTCCTGTTTTGTGTCAGTCTGGGTGTCATGAGGGGACAGCAGTGACTGTCATGTCCAGTGCAGGGGGGACAAGTTCCCCTGCTCAGCCATCCTCCATCATGGCTTGGGATGATCCAGGCTGGTCGTGTCCACCTCAGGGAGAACAAATATCACCACTCCCATGGAATAATCCAACACAGACACGCTTTTCATCCTATTTTATTACTTCACACCCTGTTTGCTGTCCCAAGCCAAGCACAGCCATCAGCCACAGCATCCTCACATCCCCACATCCTGCTGTGACAAAGCCATTTTGGGGGGATCACAGAATTACCTGAGTTCACAACCCCTGGTACGAGCTCTCTGACAGCCCCTCCTGCTCTGCTAGGCCTTGCAGCCCCCTCTGGCAGCCTCACAGGAATCCTGCAGCCTCTCAGAACCCTTCATATATTTTATTTTTGTTTCCCCCGTGTTTTTATCACCTGGGTAAGGGGCCACAGGCTCTGTAACCATGACACAAAGCCTGGGAGTCCAAACCTTAACAGAAGAGCCTCGAACTGCATCTCTCCCCAAGCACCTCACCCTCTGCAAGGAATCATCTCTCAAAAACACCTCTGAGCACAGTGTGAGCCCTGAGCAGCTGCAGAGTCACCTTTTTAGCCTCAGCTCTGCCCCCCTGCTGAAGCACCCCTTTCTTCAAGCTCCCTCCCCTTCCCCAAAATCCAAGGTGACAAAACCCCTTTGCCAGCGGCAGCTTTAAATCCAAAATCTCCCCGCTTGAGAATCACAAAAAATTAACTGTTGTACAAGGGAACCACCCTGGTGATGCCCTGCCTGCAGATCGGGCACTTTTTGGGCTCGGGAAGTGCCTGGTAGCACTGGTGGCAGGAGCAGACGTGGCCACACTCCAGGAAAACGCAGGATTTGGTGCTGCTCAAGCAGACCACGCAGGCGTTTTTGAGAATCTCCCCGCCCTCCGTGTTCATCAGGCGCTCCTGGGCCTGCCGGAATTCCTCCTGCATCTGCCGCAGGTGCTGCCTCTCGCGGTGGTGCCGGTATTGCTTCCGCAGGAGGAAGAAGAGAACGGCGCAGGTGGCAAAGCCGAAAATGACGGTCAGGATTTTCCAAAACCGGACGCTGGACTCTTGTTTCTGCAGCAAGGACTCGAAATCCAGGGAGCTCAGGTAGTAAGGCATGCCCTGCTTCGGGGGCTGCAGCTTGATGGTGGCGTTGTCCAGCACCAGCTCTCCCACCCCGGTCAGGGCCGTGCCCACCTTCAGCATCTGCTCCGTCTCCTGGATCCCCTTGGGACGCTCCCCGCTGATGTAGTGGCCGATGACATCCGTGAAGGATTGGACAGAGGGGTGGAATTTCTCATACACCGTCTCCAGGCTGAGCTCAGCTGCCTCCAGAGGCTTCACCACCCGGACGGTGACGCTGGCGCCGTCCTCGGCGGGGACCAGGTCGAAGGGGGTGGTGTTGGTTCTCTGGTGGATGATCTTCTCGTAGTCGTTCCTGGGGAAGGAGGAAAGGGGGAAGTGAACTGATTTCTCTCGGTGGGAAACACAGCCTGGCATGACCTGCTGGTTTTGGGGACTGCCAGAGTGGAGTTTCTTTCTGCTCATGGCACTGTCCAGGTGTGCATGAGGCCACTCCACCCTCAGTGCTCCACAAGTATTGGGGGCTTCCCCCATCCTCACCTACTTCCTCCTCACCTGCCTGTGGCATTCCCAGCTGTCACAAACCATCCCAATGGTGTCACACACCCCAGTTTGGTAATGCTTATCAAACAGCATCACTGGGCTCTGTTTCAGCAGTTCTGGGATCCTCTTTGGGTCCCCTGGGTGTAGGGATCACCCAAATCCAATTAATTTCTGTTCTGCAAGTGGGTTTGTTTTTTTGGAAATGCCATTCTCTGGCCACCTCTGTAACAAGGTGGAGCTGATCAATGTTCAGCCTGTGCTGGTTTAATTGACACGCTCTTCTCCTCCAGTCCCTCTGTGAATGCCCTAAAATCAGCCAAACACTCCCCATTATGGCAGCTGTCACAGTGGGGGCTACTTTGGGATCTGGCTCTGAGGAACCTCTGGCCATGCCCGAGGCCACTTCAGGTGCCCCACAGGTGTTTGGGGGTGGCAGGCACATACCAGAGGTGGGTGGTTCTGTTCCACACCATCTTGTGCTCCTGCAGCGTCAGCCTCTGAACCACCCCCTTGCAGTTCTCCACAAACTGACTGCTCAGGGTCTCCTTCACCGACCGCACCACACCTGGAACGGGAATCCAAGGGGCACGTCAGGTTTAAACAAACCTTGGAAAAGGGCTTGGAGTGACAGGACTGTGGGGAATAGCTTCATACTGACAGGTTTTGATGCGCTGCTGGGGAAGAAATCCTTCCCTGTGAGGGTGGGCAGGCCCTGGCACAGAGTGCCCAGAGAAGTTGAGGCTGCCCCTGGATCCCTGGAAGTGCCCAAGGCCAGGCTGGACAGGGCTTGGAGCAGCCTGGGAATGTGGAAGGTGTCCCTGCCCATGGCAGGGGGTGGAATGGGATGAGCTTTATGGTCTCTTTCAACCAAAACCATTGTGGGATTCTAAGATGGGGGGCAGAAGGGATGGGAGCTGGTGTTTTCTGCTGTCAGGAGTCTGACAGGGGGGATATGACCCGATGGGCACAGAAGGAGGAGCTGGGGATGAAATTCCCTGGTGAGGATGAAATTCCCTCACCCCTGTCTGGGGCACCGCTTCGGGTCCTGTTTGAAAGGAATGAGGGATTTGTCTTTACAAACAAACTGTGGGTCTGCTGGTAGGTAAAAATAGACACTGAGAGAGGAAAGAAACAACGGGAAGAACCATAAATTCCAAAGGAATTCCACTGACTGACACCAGGAAAAGGAAAGGGGGCGGTGCAGTTATACATTAGAAGGGGGTATGAAGCGTTTTGGGAAGTCTGCACCTCTCAAGTAACTCAGCCAATGGGGAAAGAGAGAGGGAAATGAAGATAAAAAAGACGCTGCGTCCTCTAGCAATTTGAGAGACCCCATGGGAAATGCCCAAGACCTCTCCCTTTATTCGAATAAAGTTACAGGACTCCTCTGCCTCCCTTTTGGACATAAACCTCTGGTGTTTGTGGATTAATCCTCCTGACACGACCCTACCTTCTATGACTGCATAGGGCACGCAGCGTCCAGGCGCCTCCAGCAGCACGGCCCGCAGGTCCCCGTCCAGCCGGACTTTCCTGGCGCCCTGCGGGGGGAGCAAACAGAGGCCGCGGCTCAGCCGGCGCGACCAGGCCGCGGCTCGGGGGCCGGGCCCATGCCTTCCCCCGTCGCACCCCTCGTACCCACCTCGAGCCCGCGGGCCACGCGAGCCTTCTGCCGGTAGACGGAGTAGAGCAGGGCGGTAATGGCGGTGCTGGCGGCCAAGAGCACGGCCTGCGCGGCCGAGGGCCGCCCGCCGCCCTCCATGGCCGCCAGGCCCGCCGTTACCACGGCAACCGCCCGCCGCGCTGGCGCGTGGTGATGACGTCACGAGCGGCGCTCTGGCAGCCGCAGTGCAACCATCGAGACGGGGAGTCCTCCAAGGCCGGGGAGGAGAGGGGTGCGGGGACCCCGCAAAGCCTGGTTGGGGTTCGGGGGTAACACAAATTACCCCCCCAACAGAGGCTGCGGGTCAGGTACCGTCCCCACGGAGCTTTAGGGGGATAAACCCCATCCTTGGGAGTTTGGGGGGTGGGACGGGTCGCACCCCTTTACCCCCATCTCCACCTTGGGGTCTTGGGGAGGACATGGAACTCCAGCCTCACCAGTATCTGAGGGGGGATTAGCTCAAATCCCAGCCATCCCTTAGGATTTTGGCAGCTGGCCCCAAATCCTAATGCCCCCGGCTGCGGGGGGGAGCATCCCCCGCACCTCTCTCCCACCTTGGGGGTGGGGAGCAACCCAAATTTCACCCTCTTGCTAAATCTGGGGGGCAGTGGTCAGACCAAAGCATGTCCCCCCGTGGCTGGGAGGGGATATCTCCCCAAATCCCAGCCCTGTAGCACCTTGGGGAAGGGGTTACAACCCCTCACTGGGCTGTGGGGCAGCAGCACCACGTGGAGCCCCCAGTGCAAGGGCTCAGCCTCAGGACACAGCCCCCAGCCCCACAAAGGGCCATGGCAGGGTGGCAGGTCCCTGCTGGCGGGGACACACGACCCCCCCAAACTCCCCACCCCCCATCTCCTTACCATTGCTTATTCTGGGAAAGCAGCAAACAGGAGAAGAAAAAAAAAATAGAAATTTTTCATAAATGATTGATCTTCAGGCCCTTGGTGCTAATTTGGAGCGGGGTGAGGAGGGGGGTTTGCAGGCAAATTCTGCGCTCCAGTGGGGTCCAAGGGGCCAAACCCCCGTCGCTGCTCCCCCGACGTGGGTGGCACAGCCGCCCCCCCAGCTCTATATTTAAAAAATCAAGTTGCCATGGCTACGCGGAGCAGCTCTCCCCAGCCCTCGGTGCCGCAGGAAAGCGCTGTGGACCCTTCAGCCCCCCTCCTCGGCTCACCTTTCGAGGGGTAAACGCAATAAAACCTCCCCCCAAACCACCTCAGTGCCCAGCTTAACTCCGCCGTCCGCCAGGGTGAGACACAGGCGCCGTCACACCGCAGAAAACACACATTAATTTTATTATTACGGCCGCTGCGGAGGAGGCACGAGAGCAGGTTCATGTGCAGGGCCGGGCAGGGTGGGGGGGTCCCTGGGGTGCAAAGCCACCCTCAGCACGGGTCTTCCTGCAAAGGGAGCCGCCGTCTTGTCCAGCTTGATCCCCGAGGAGGGTCCAGCTTGATCCCCGAGGAGGGTCCAGCTTGATCCCCGAGGAGGGTCCAGCAGCGCTTTGGGGCGCAGGGAGGGCGCCTCAGCACACGGCGGCCCGCGGCCCGCGCAGGCTGCAGCCCCTCATGTCGCTGGCCAGCCGCAGCACGGCCGCTCGCTCGGCGTCCCCCAAAGGCGTCGCGGCGGCGCCGAAGGCCGCCTCCTCCTCCTCCTCCTCCAGGATGGAGCTGAGGCGAGGGGCGCAGCGGGCCCGCTCGGCCGGCGGGCGGTAGGGACACTTGGCGTTGAGCAGCCTGCGCAGCGGCACCAAGGGCACGAAGGCGTCGCCCAGGAGCTGCTGCTGCACGTGGCGGAAATCGCTCTGTCTCTTGAGGCGCTTGAACTCGTTGAAGGCCGAGGCCGAGGTCTGGTAGAGCAGCAAGGCCATGGCGCGCGCCTTGTCGGCCTTGGAGACCAGCACGGCGTGGCAGCGCAGCACCACCGCCTTGTTCTTCACCTGGTGCCGGTACACCCAGGCGAACACCTTGGGGTGCCGGCGGTCGGCGGCGCAGTAGGTGATGCGGTGCAGCAGGTACGCGTGGCCCGGCCGGCGGGCTCCCTTCTCGCAGGGCGTCATGCGGATGCCGTGAGGGCCCAGCGTCAGCTTCATCTTGGCCCCGCCGGCGCCCGCCTCGCTCTTGGCCCAGATCTTGCCCACCGCCTCCTCGGTGCAGCCCTCGCCCTTGGCGTGCAGGGTGACGGCGTTGCCCAGGTACCGCACCGTGTACGTCGGGTCCTCCTTGTTGAGCTCCACTTTCTGCCGCTTGCCGCGGAAGACGCTGCCCAGGCGCTCCAGCGGGCACTCGGGCAGCAGGTCCGGGCAGGAGCGGAGGAACCCGGCCAGCAGCGCCGCGTAGCTCAGCCCCGGCCCCAGGCTCTTGCCTTTGCACTTACGTTCATTTTCCACCAGCACGAACTTGCTCCGGCGCCAGGGCAGCATCTCCGCTCCGCTAAATCCCGGCCTCTTCTCGCCCGCGGCGCGACCACCCCCCCCCACCCCCCCAAAACCCGGAGCCCTAAACCGCTTTTGGGGGGGGTGTCCCGGGGCGAAGCCCCCCTACCCCGGCAGCGGGGATCCGATGCGGCTGCCCACGGAGGGTTGCGGGAGGCTGGCCGCGTTCCGGGTGCCGCCTGCGGCTGATGCTGCGGGAGCGGCGGGGACGCGGCGCTCCGTGGGCTGCTCCACCTCCCCGAGCACGCGGGGAGCCGCCGCCGAGCGGCCCCCGCCGGCTCCCCGAGCGCTCGCCCCGTGGAAATAGAAACAGAATCGGGAAAAGGATGACCGAGGGGTGGTGGGGAAATCAAGCCCTCCATCGCTATGCGGCAGGCAGACCCACCCCTCTCCCCCTCCCAGCGCCGAAACCCACCGGAGTGAGGGGAGATTTGCCTAATTTGTCAGCCCGGGGGAATGATTTTGGGAGGGTCAGGGGATGGCTTCTAACACTGGAAAGACAAAAAGGGGTTTTTCCTCCCCAAATCGGTGCGTTGCACTAAGGTGTGTGCCGAGATTTGCAGATCCTGCAGGTTTGCTGGCTTCTTTTTTCCTACAAACCTCCCATTTCCCCCTGTTATTTCCAAGGCAGTCAGACCTCCTCGCTGCTCCTCTCCTTTTGGGCTGAGCTGGCTTTTAACCTGTTGCTTTTCTCTCTGGCCAAAGCCCTAGGACAGCTTCTCTCCAGGAGAAATGGAATGCTATTTCCCCGTGGCACAGCTCAGGAGGGATTTTTGGGGAGCACTGCGAGGTTTCAGCCCTGCAGTGGAGTCTGAGGCTGCTCAGGATTCAGAGCCTTTGGCTCAAACCCTGATTTCCACTTTATTTTTATTTTTTTTTTTACCATCTGGACATAAAGCAGGGAGACCCCTGGGCTTGGGGACGCTCTGTTTACCATGGGATTGAAAAATGGGGAGGAGGAAGGGGTAAAATAACACCATGTGCCCCCCCTTTTAATCCATTTGGCGAAGAAAACCAGAGTGGGGTGTTGCAGGGAACAGGAAGCCATTTCCCAGCAGCTTCCCAGATTTTCTGCTGTTTGACTGAAGCAAATACAACCTTAAAATAGCAGCTTCACAGGCAGGCAGCACCAACCCCACTCTCTCACTGCCGCGGCCTTGACAGCCTCATAGATTTTTGCAGCCAAAATAATAAAAAATGCATGAATTTGTCTGTTTTTCAGCTTTTTTGATGCAAACATGGGCTGTGTGGTTTGCTGCAGGTGCAAGGATGGTTTTGGGGGGATGGCAATTAGGGAATTAGTGCTGATAAGGAAGATTTCTATCCATGCTAGCCTCTGTCTTTCATAATTTCTATTCTTACCCTCATTGACTGAGGTGAGGACTGTGTTTACTTGCTTGGTATTCATATTGAGAGGGCAGGTGTGAATCTACCCTGAAAGCTTCTTTATTTACAGATCCCACATTATTGGGGTCGGGGTGGGGCCTTTTCACTGGTTTGATGCCACAGTGCCACCCACAAGTTGCCCTAGGACTGGTTTTCCTTTTTGCCCCCAGATTTTTGGGGACAAAGGAGACTGCACTGCATTTTGTATAGGGGAAAACAACCTGGATTAGCACTTAAAAACTGAAAAAAAAAAAGGTTGTGGGCTGATAATCCATCTTCTCACTCACTGCCCTGGCAAATAGTGAACTGTCATTGTGTTTCCTGGTTATCCCTTGGACAATACCGACCTCAGCATCCCAGCTTTGGATTCTTGGGGTGCCTTTGATGATCTCACTGTCCCATGCTCTGTTTCAGCTCCTGGAATTTCAGCCCCATCAGAAGCCACTGCCAATTTGGATGCTGCTTCCCAGCCTCTTGTGTCTCTTCCAGCAGCAAGATTTGGTGGCAAAACCACCAGGTAAAGTCAAAATCCTCCAAAATCTAACAAACTGGCCAAAAACCCCAGTGATAAATCCCTGGGTGCTGTGACACCCATCCTTGCAGCTAGAAAATGGGGCAGGAAGCTCCTCAGGCAAGGGGAAAAATAGAGAAATCTTTAATTAAAAAGCAATTTGATGATCACACGAGAGCCCTTTACCTTGTGTGGGCTGATTCCTGTGGGAGCAAACTGAATTTGGGCTCCAGCATGAGGGAATCTCAAATTGGGCTTTTGACCACTTGTGTCTTCAGCCAGTTTCCCTTGCTGCCTGTATTTAGAACACCTGGGAAGACATGATATATACAGATATTAATTTTTATGCTTTCAATCATATTAATCTATTTATTTTGATCTCACTGATCAGGAGCTGTTCCTTCCCCTCCAGGAATGATTTAATGAAATTTGCCTGTGGAGCCACAGAACCAGTTTTGAACTGATGAGGAAAAAAAACCAAACAAGCAACTCCGGCACGGTGGCGGAAAAATGATCTGCAGGGACAGAGAAAGGAGGAAGTAAATAATGAAAAGAGGAGAAATTGGAAAGAATGAGGCAGCAGGCAAGGAGAGGATGTGGGAATCCCTGAGCATGATGCTTTGGGGGCCAGGGCTGCCCCTGAGGATGCTTCCCGGAGCTCAGCTGCGTGCCGGGGCGTTATCCCGGCGTCCCGGCCAGCCTTTTTTCCAGGCGAGGAAATATTTAACTGCAGCGTCAGCAGGCAGAGCAGGCGGGTGCAGAAATGGAGAGAGGCGGGCAGCACCCTGTCCCTGCTGTCCCCACAGGCCAGCCTCAGGGTGACCATCTCCAGCTCCTGCTGCGCCGCAGCCGGGAGGCCAAAAACTGCGCTTATTGCCCCTACAGCCGCTTCCCGGTGGGAGCTGCGCTGCTCACCACCGGTGGGGAGATCTTCTCGGGTAAGATGGGGATCTGAGACCCCCCTCCAGGGATTTTGAGGTGCCCCCAGCAAGTTTTGGGTCATGTATGAGGGTGTAGCGGGGTCATCCCGGGGTGTTGGTGTTGTGTGTCCTCCCCCGCTGCCTCTTGGCAAGTCGCCATCCCTGACCGAGCCAAAGATCACAACGGATGGGAAAGCGGGGCAAGCGGGGAAAATGGTTTTTATTTGTAAATTCCCTAAGAAAAAATGAGGTTTTGGGTGGCTGATAATGGGGTTGTCCCTGCAGGGTGCAATGTGGAGAACGCCTGCTACGGCTTGGGGATGTGCGCCGAGCGCACCGCCATCCAAAAAGCCATTTCCGAGGGGCACACCAGCTTCAAGGCCATGGCCATCGCCAGGTGAGGGTGCTCTGAGAGCTGGAATGCTGAGGGATGGCAGGGGGAACCAGCAGGAGAACCCCCGGTGCTCCTCAGGGACAGCTTCTTTTGCAGCAGCCCCATCTTTTGGGGAGGGAAATAAAGTTTTTTGCGTGGTGATTTTGGAGGAACTGGGGGGTAAATCTGTTGTTGCTCTGTATTTATCGGGGCATGAAGGTGTTCTGTACGTGTTCTCCCCTCCTCTGACCTCAGGGCTGAGCTTTGTGCCCTTCTCTTTTGGCAGTGACATGGGGGACCACTTCATCATGCCCTGTGGTGCCTGCAGACAAGTGATGAGAGAGGTGACAGCTCGTGTGGGGCTCATTCCCTGACCCCAAACACCATCCCCTGACCCCAGGCATATCCCCCTAAAACACCTGGAGGTACCAAGAAGGGTGGAACCTCCCATCCTCAGCCTCAGGGCTGGCTCCAGGCTCCTCAAATTGCATTATCTGCTGGGAAAGGGGCATTCCAATGCTGGGTGGGTGTTCAGTGGGAATCCATTAGCTCGGCCTCCCCAGGGTGTTTTCTTTCTCCAGGTGCAGGGTTTTGCCCTCAAGTCCTTGCTCAGGCTCTGGCCAGCCTGGAAATGGGGGTTTTTCTGCAAAACTGAGCTTTCCAGGTTCTGTCCTGCTCTCATCTCCCTCCTCCACAGGAATCCCAGCACCCACAGCCCATTTTTGGGTTGTGAATATTTAATGGGTTGCGGGGCTCTGCTCGAGGGTCAGATTCAGCAGGTTCAGAGGCACTGGGGCTCACGCTGGTGGGGTAAAAAACACAGGGTCTGAGCCCAAAATATCCTCTGGGGGAGGGAATGCTGGTAAGCCAATCCAAAAGACATGCAAGAGAGGAGGATGCTCCCTGTGAACCTGGGGAAAAAAGGGTATATTAGTAATTTTGGGAAAAAATGCAGGTTCTTCTTCTTCTTCATAAGGCTCTTCTTTCTCCTCCTTCAGTTTGGCACAGACTGGGATGTCTACCTGACCAAAGCAGATGGCACCTACATTGTCAAGAGGCTGGAGGAGCTGCTGCCGCTCTCCTTTGGCCCTGAGGACCTGAAGAAGGTCTGAGCAGTGTGGCCACCACCAGCCTTTGCCCTTAGGCACAGGGGACAATGGTTTTTTCCCCAATTTCCTCAGCCTGTAAGCAACCTTTTGGGAACAACACAGTGGGAAATGTGTTTATACTGTTAAGTTGCCTGTTCCTCTGGCTCATCTTCTGATTCAGTGTTGATTTGCAGACTCCAGCTCCACCTTGCCCTGAAGAAATAGCAAAATCAATTAATAGAAATTCCCTGTTATTAGTAAAAAAAGGCACCCAGACGTCCCTGTAGGCAAGGGAGGACATGGGTTTCATGCACAGCTCAAACAGGCTTTGGTACAGAAACCAGTCCTGAATAATGTAAAATCATTGCTTGAGAAAGTGCTGGATCCTTCAGCTCTAAAGAGAAGCGAAAGCAAGAAGGAAAAGGTCCATCAGTGCCAGAAGTAATTAGTGAGCCAATCCAGATTAGGTGGATTGCTGGAACAGGATGGTTATCGCACTGAGCGTGTCCTTTGCTCGTTTCTACCCAGCTTGTTTTCCTTGCTTTTATTCTGTTTGGGGTGAAGAAGAGGACAAGGGGTTTTTGGGGATTTCTGGAGGGTTTTGTGCCTCCAGGGTAATGCTATTTGTTGATTGTACTGCTGATTTACAATACAATGATGAATGAATTCATTACATTTCCCAGCCAGCGCTGGGTTGAGCATTTCTGCCATGCCCAAGTGAAATAAAAGCAGTTCTGGTTTATCTCTTGCAGTGGTGAAACACAGGGAGAGGGGTCCTGGGGCTGTCCTGCAGCCCAGGAAGGGCTGGGGAGTGCTGGATGTGCCCTGGGAACCTCATGAGGTTCAACAAAGCCGAGTGCAGAGTCTCAGGGCAGCCCCCAGTACCCATACAGGCTGGAGGATGGAGAAGACTCCTGCTGGGAAGCTCTTGGAGATGCTGGTGGATGAGAGGCTGATGTGCCTCAGCTGTGGGGCTGATCCCACAGCATGGGAGGGAGGGATTCTGGCACAGGGTGCCCAGAGAAGCTGTGGCTGCCCCATCCCTGGCACTGTCCAAGGCCAGGTTTGGATGGGGCTGGGAGCAAGCTGGGATAGTGGAAGGTGTCCCTGCTCATGGCAGGGGTGGAACAAGATGGGCTTTGAGATTCCCTCTAGCACAAACCAGTCCATGATTCTGTGATTTGATGATTCCACACACTGGGCTGTGCTCTGGCTCTTCCCAGGGCAGTGCCATTCTCCACGCCAAGGCACTCCCAGCTCTGTCCTCCATGCCCTGCATTGCACAAGGCTTCACCTTGGCTGCACCCTGCTCTGTGCCCTGCTCCATGACCCATTCCATGTCCTGCCTGATGCCCCACTCCATGTGCCCCCTTCCCTATCCAGCTTCATGCCTCACTCCATGTCCCACTCCATGTCTTACTCTGTGTCCCATTCCATGCCCTGTTCAGTACCCCCCACTCCACGCCTGCTCCATGGCTTGCTCTATGCCCCATCCCGTGCCCTTCTCCGTGTCCCATTCCATGCCCCATTCCCTGCCCCTCTCCATGTCCCATTCCCTGTCCCATTCCCTGTCCCATTCCCTCTCCCATTCCCTGCCCCATTCCCTGTCCCTCTCCGTGTCCCATTCCCTCTCCCATTCCCTGCCCCTCTCCGTGTCCCATTCCCTGTCCCATTCCCTGCCCCATTCCCT